TCCACAATAATTTTTTCCATTAAAACAACGCATTCCAAATTGAAAGAAAAAAAAAATTGTTAATTATATCAAAATTTTATTAACATTAAAAAAAAAGAAAAGTATTTTAAATATTTCGTTTCAAATATTTTACGATAAACTTTAATACCTCTAAAATGCATTGCATTTATCTGTTGGAAACAATATTTTTTTCCTAGTATTGTATTGTGTTGTGAGTAATGGTGAATGAAAGATTTTTTTTATCATTGAAAATGCACTTTTTTGAGGTAAAAAATTTTTTTATAAAGTTCTTTCGAGCCATAAAATAAATGTGACCAAGTCCTTTATCATCCCTTATTTTTACCTTTAAAAAATGATAAGAGAAGCGGTAGCATAAAAAATTATAAACTGTCTTTTCGATGAAACTCTTTTAGTTGCAACTCAGTTCAGAGCGAAGAATATTCGCTCGAAACAAGATTTAATTTGAGCTTTGGTACAGACAATGGTGTTGATCGGGTCGACAGTCACAAGCGATCAATGCTCATTTATAAATTTGACACTCAATGAAAACTACGCGTTTTACTCGACGGTTGGTTTTGTAATCGAGTTCTCGACCAAAACTTTTATCATTCTGTATTCAGATAAATACTTTTAGTTTTTACCGTAACTAAAATTGAAGTTCATTGGCAAGTTTTGTCGGTTTTATTCTAGACTGGTTTACAATGAAAAGAGTGTCAACAATTTTTCCTGGCACTTTTATCTCTTTGCTGAATGTAGAGTGTAGGATCGCAAGGCGATAACTACCCATAGAATACACGATTTTTTTCCATTTTTAGTTTTTTCTGTGAACAGGTTTTTTAAAACCATTGAAGCACATGCACAATCAAGATTGTATCAAAAAAAAAAAAAAATCATGCGTACGAACTAATTTCATGATTTGACACCAAATTAAAAATAATTTAATGAAATTTCTAATAAATTAGTAATTAACAACAAAATGAAATTGATCGGTTTATTCCTCTCTCTCTATCATTAATCGAATTTATTTTTTAATATGTTGAAAACTAAATTAAAAATTTTTCATTGCCGACATCAATTTTAAATTAATTAGTGAGTACAAAAATTAACCTAGAATAAATATTAAGTCATGTACGAAGACGGAGTATTAACTAATGAATTTTCCAATGAATCAAATGTACCAAACGTCTTTCTAAAACACTGATAAAAATCCAGATTCATATCTGATCCTTTGATTCTCTTATCGCCACTAAAACGTGCTACATGTAAGCCGTAAAAAAATTTTTCTTTGCATACCACAATCCAACGATTCAAAGTACCGACTTATCAACCAATAACTTTTATCAGTGAACAGCAATGGTAATGCTTAAATTAAAAGGAAAAACAAAAAGACCTAACGCGCACTAGCTGGTCTATAGTTACCTTTAATCGTATGGCTTTTCAAAAAATTACGCATTGTTGTATTAACCGAGTGAGGAACAAAAAAACTCGTGACGGTGTAACACGACTCTTTAAACGAAAGTTTTACCATATCAATATTTTAATATTTTTAGATTAAAATGTTTCTTATTGCAGAATGAAGAAGGACGAAATAATGAACGGCAAGGGCCTGGACGGTGGCTACGTGAACCACGCGCTGAGCGAGTCCACCGCGGATTTGGCAGCCAACGGTTCCGCCAAATCTTACAAGTCGCAGCGCGAGTTGCACGGCTCCTCTGACTTTGTCTGTAAGTATTGTTTTTTTTTTTTTTTTTTTTTTTTTTTTTTTTTTTTTTTTTTTTTTTTTTTTTTTTAAAAACAATGAAATTTCTCAAACTATCTCTCTAATCTTTCTGCCTTTTGCTCGCCGCGAGGATGCCACAAAAGTAAGTTTTACTTGTGACGCGAGGGCTTTCTATGTGCACTAGCTAAAGCAACGCGAGCTTCTTATTTATATTTTTATCAATAGTTGCATTCAACAAAAGGCTGCCAAAATAATTTCTTATTTTTCCCCAAGTTTTTGTGTCATTGAATAAAAAGTAATTTTTATATAATATTGACATTTTTTTTTCTAAATGAAATAAATTAGAGCTTAAAAAGCTCATTAAGAATTTGCCTAACGAAATCGATTTAAAATTATCTTAGAAATCATTTATGAATTAATAATTGTATGAAACTGTATTTATCACGAAAAAAAGTATTGTGTCTGTCCTTCGTGTGCAAATTACTGTTACGTCGAATAAATCGTTGTATAATAAAAAATAAATGTTTTCTAAGTAAATAATTTTTATAAAGTACTCCATAAAATTGTCATTGTTTAAAAATTATTTAATATTTTGGCGAAATCTAAATTCATTTGTAGTGTTTAATGTTTGAGCGAATGAACGTACATCAATTTCATTAAACAATAGCTCCAAACTTAATTCACGCGTGACTATTGTTTGTCGTGCATTCTTTTCTCAGTCAAGCTATACATTCATTCGAGACGATAAAAAAATTGTAAGGATTTCTCGCACATCGCACAGATAGTCGCACAGGGCAGTCCGCTCGAGAAAACAGGCCTACGAGAGCAAATAAACGACATCCGGTTCCGAATGTGGAAAAAAAATTTTCTTTTAATCCACGCGAGCGCATGTAATAAATCAACGCGTAGTGTTTGAGCGTGAAAAAAAAAAGTCAGCTACGAGACTCTCGCGTTCTCGGCTACTTCCGTTCGTTCAATCTGATTTCTCGAGTGAAATTTTCCCAAAGGAAAAAAAAACGTCCTCCCCTCCACCCTCGTTTGGTCCGCGCAAAGTAACACACTCGATTGTGCGCGGTTTTTCATTTTGCTCGGCTGATTGGAAAATTAACGATCCGTTGCGAGCGGTGATTACAAAAATTGCCGACCAAAGGCAAAAAAAACGAACAATGAAAAGACGAAGACGAAGCCAAAGCTCATTGGTTGGTTTTCCGAGTAAACTGAGAAAGGCAATCGCAGCCGATCGACGCAACGAAGGGAGTCGTAAATCTGGAGCAATTCCCCGCCTCCTCATGTAACCCGCGGCAGGAGCTCCTCGCGTGATGTAACCCGATTTTCTCTCTCTCCCTCTTCGATCCGTTCGCGTCTTTCCATTTTTCTCGCTCAGCTTCGTCGTTTAGAACGCGCGAAAACAAAAAATTTAACCAAGCGTTATTTAGATTTTTCCTATGTAAATGTCCCTATTATGATCACAAATTTCATCATACCTGTTTCTAATTTGCTCAATTGTGATCTATAACGGTAGAAATTTTGATTTTTGCTGGTGCGCTATAAATTTACTATTATTATTCTAATTTTTAAATATAGTTTTTAACTGTTAAATTACTTTGTTTTATAAAAAGATTATAAGTTCAAAATGTACACAATTATGGAACGTTGTACCTA